ACTAAAAGTAGCGATAAAGAATGAGTCACAACACCAGTTTTGGTAATTCTAGACAAAGAAAATCCATTATACCACGTTGTAGGTTATGGCACTCATAAGGTCGGCCTAAATTTGATCAAATTCTACAAAAGGAATTATTAATGCGGCCTAATTTTCCAAAAAGGAACTTAAACTGGTGACATGACAAGGCCATTTTGAAGATTATATTTCAACATAAAATTGCGGGAGGATGATATTCATGTACATCCCGCGACTTCCTGCTGTTGTATGGCCTACATATCAGCCCCTGCCATTTTACCAGTTTAAGCACCCTTTAGGAAAATTCGACCGTTTTCATAACTCTTCTCGTAGGATGTTGTGAAATCAAAGCCGCCCCTATACTGATGAGGATAAAGCCCGAACCCATGGTATACAGGTTGGCTGTCTGAGTTTTCCAAAACTGGGGTTGTGGATCATTATTTATCGCTACTTGAAATAATAAAATCGCCCCGAATGACCCGACTTTCAACAATCCTTTGAATATGTAAATATCGACTCATAAATAAAGTAGTCCTAATATTTAAAATTGGTTAACTTTCCCTACAATGAATTTTGTACAAATAACTCGGTTTTCAAAACCACTATTCATTTGCTCCACATTCAAACACATAGAGTTTAAATTTCATAAAGATCATTCCCCGCCGCTTTTGTTGTAATTGTTTAGTAGCGAAGCATTAGCGCTCATAAGGGTAGTAAAAATTGTTTAATTATTAAAAAGAATCATACACGTCTATAATAGTTTCGATTTTTTTAGTAGTGAAATAGTTCAAATAGAACTATACTATCATTCTCCTTTTGTTATTAGACTCATTATATAAAAACTTATTTTCAATTTTTGAATTAATTATAGCAAAAAATAAAATAAAAATAGAAGAGAGAGATAACCACATATTTTAAAAGGCTCATATTAATGTTAGGAAGAGTATGTATATCTAAAACTAGAGCCGATTAAGCAAAAGGGACAACGTTTCTGGATTCAGCACTTCAAATTCACAAAGAAACATGCCTCAAATCTTTGGCAACAAAATATATGTTGGCCAGTGTAATCAATTAACGCCCTATATAGCTGAAAATAAGATTTTTGAAAATTTTAAACGCTATTATATGTAATACTAGCCGAATGACCCGGGCAACGCCCGAGTTTTACCTGATTAAATGTTTTTATTCAAATAATATTCGTTACAATCATAAATTGGCGCCGTGGATGTCACTCTTGCGAAACGTCCCGCTCCAAACTGAAAAGCTATATTTTTATAGAGAGATGATCTGGCTTTGTGTCTTCTGCTCGAATGAATGTTTTTCTGTTAGAATTTTGTTCCTGCATACTAAAAAGGAACTGGCTTTTTCACCCGTGATCTATACTTTTTGTAATTTTTACCGATATAATTTTGCATCTGATAATCAAACATGATACAGCAATATTGTCATCATCATTTTCTGACAAAAAAAAAAAAAAACAAATATTTTTGCCGAGAACCTGTCAATTTCAATTTTTCTTGGCTAAAAATTCGAAAAATATCTCTTCCAGATTTTTCTCTTTGTCCTGTTAAAGCACGTTTTACATGTACATTAGGTCATCTGATATTACCTCCGCATCTTCACCGCTAGAGGCGCTGCTTGCGAGCGAAAGGGCAAATTTGCAACGCAAATTTGCAAATAACGCGAAGTATATTCAGGATGAGACCTCAAATTTTCACTATAAGTTTTTCCAGAATCTACTATATATTGCGCTAAAATTCCAGTCAGATTAGTTACGTATTGTGGACATGTATAGCCAAAAAACATACATACATACATACATACACTGACTTTTATATCTATAGGGATACCTTTATTTATAAAGTCAACCTTTCTCCAATATTTAAAAATATTGAATATATTGTTCATTGTAAAAATAAAGATATATCGCTGAAAATGTTATAACATGAATAAGTTTCCAAAAGGAATTTGTCGATGTTAAATATTGTAGCAAAGTATTTATTATTTTATTAACAGAGTATCATTTTTGATGTTTATATTCTGCAACTCTGTAAACCTTCTCATGGCTTATCTTTTTTATTACTTCAAATATTTACTTAATTAGTTATATGAAATATTTTAAATATGAAATTAAAGTTACTATGTACATGAGCCAAATCGACCTAATCGTTAGAGCAAGAGGGGAGAACTGAGTTTTTCTCCCTTCCCCGACGGTCCGTCCAGTCAAGATAAGAGGAAGTACCACAAGAAACTCTGTTCTCCTGACAATATAAAAAATATATCTTTTTTTATATAAATAAAAATGTTTCTTTTAAAATAAAAAAAAATCCATTTGACATTTGTAAATTAATCTATTAGGGAGCAAGAACAATCTGCATATATTATTTACAAATGTGTGTGAACCCATCTAAACCTGAACGAGTGCCAAATGTTTATGTACGTCAAAAGTAATTTGAACTCTAGCATCATTATAACATTATTTCAATGAAGAAAAGTGAGCATTAAAGTCTACAGTGTTGTCAGATGTTTCCAGCCACTTACCGTCGATTTATGGGCAGGACATCATAGAGGTTCTGTTATATCCAGGCTACACACACCACGTGACCTCATTAACCAATGAAAACTTACTTTAATAATATTTTTTCATCTAGCTAAATTTGGAAGGATTATTCTAAATAATTTTGTAAACTATCTAGGATTTGAAATGAGGACGCACAATAGAACTATAGTTTTAAATGTTTATGTGAGTGGATGGGTGGAGGAAGTTAAAATGTTGGTTCAAGTTCCGATCGAGCTGTTCATATTCAAGCTAGGGCTCTATCTCCACACACCGTTCGCCGTAAATAGGCTCCTGCCCTTTCGCTAGTGTTGGCTTACTATTATATGTATAATATCAGTTAGCACAAGTACACAAATAGCTTATACATGAATTTATCTAGAGTGCC